TAGTGCCTCCACATGCCTCATGTATTTATCATTTTTAGCTCTGTACACACACACACACATACGCAGACACACAAAATATTTTAAAATTTCTTGTTCACTGACTATTGCAAGGTATGCTACATTATGATCATTTGCTCCTGATTACTTCAGTGCATTATTGCTAGTAACAGACTTCCTCCAATAAATGCCCACAGTGGTTATCAACTTCAACAAAGGTAACATCAATGCAGCATTTTGGGAATCAGTTGGTTTTTACCTCTTGACATGAGTCTAATGTGTGGCCATATGGGAGAGATACCAAGGCCACTAAAACCCTCCAGGACTTTGATTTCTGACTAAGGAGCAGAGAAAATGTGGATGACTTAGCTTTGATGTCCCAGGCTCCTCTGCCTGGGTCTGTTACTGGTGGCAGCTGAGGCACAGGACAGTTAGGGTCTTTGGTCTAACTTTTTAAATGCATGTCTCTGACACTGCCTTCTAGCTTCTTAGATCTCTTCTCTGTGTCCCCAGCATGACGAGACCCAGACTTGTTCCACAAGTAGAGGATAGCTTATTAATAAGTTAACATAGTACAATGACCTACCACAAAGCCATCCTGAGCTTTGTGCAAACCACTCTGGCCTTTTAGAACTAAAATGAATCTTTTTCTTTTCCAGGAACTGATCTTTATTGCTCAGCTCCAGAATCAGTCCCTAGGTCCTGTGGGACAGTCATGCATGGCATTCAAGCCCTCAAAGTGTATCTAGTTAGATCTGAGACGTGCTGATGGTATAAACACCCCAGTTTTCAAAGATTTAGTAAGTTCTCCCTCCACTTCCTTTGCAGTCTTGTTAAAGATGCAGAGAGGAATAGATCATCTTTGGTAAGGAATGTGTCCCCATCAATGACACTGAGGCTCAGAAAGTGCCTCAGAGGAACCAGTGTGGGTGGTCAGCCCCCACAGCTGAGCAGCAGGACAGTTCCTTTCCCCTTGGGGGTTGGCCCTGTCCTCAGCTGCCTTTCTACAGCGCCCTTTGGCCACACCCTTCCTCCTGTGCTTATCCTATGCTGTTAACCCTTCCCCAGAGAATGCTTTCACATCCTCTATCCAGTCAAAGCCTGTCCGTGCTTTCTTCATATGTGCACTTGGGTTCTCCCTGCTCCCTGGGGCGCCAAACGCAGCTCTGGCCCTCACACCCTGCATTTTTCTCATGCACGTGACCGTCTTGGTCTTGCTTTGCTCCTGTAGCATATATTTTGCACTTGGTCACTTTTTTCTGAATTCTCAGATGTCTTCAGATGCAGTGGCCTTATTTCACCTGCCAAACGACTAACTTTGAGGAAATTTTTTTTGTACTTGAAATTTTCCTCTTTCTTAGCATTGTTGGATTATCAGCAAAAATATATTCCAAACAATACACCTGCAAGTCAGAATGCCACTGCTAAAATAACACACACACCCCAGTACGTTGTAGTTTAAATTTGAAGGCAAATTCTCCTTAAAAAGAGGCTATTAATCACCAGTATTTTCAAAGATGTTGTTCTAAGGTCCCATTAATTCACCACATACTTACAAAGTCTATAATACTTCACAGCAAACTGACAAAGTTATTAGGATAAAAAATTTTGCTGCCTCTATGCATTAGTCCATTTTCTGTCTCTATAACAGAATATCCAAGGCTGTGTAATTTATAAAGAAATGAAGTTTATTTAGCTGGCCATTCTGGAAGTACAAAAGCAGGAAGCCAGGGTCTGCTTGGGTTTCCAGCAAGCACCTTGTGCAGCTTCTTGCATGGAGAAAAAGCTGAAGAGAGTGAGTGCATTTTAAGAAAGCATTCTCATGACACTTAACCCACTATTGCGGGAAATGCACCGATCCCTTCATTGGGTGCATTCTTTGTCATGTAACTGCTTCTTAAAATTTCTACTATTACAGGACTGTTACATTGCACTCAAGACTCAAATCACAACATGAGCTTTAATTGGAGACAAATCATAGCACTCAACAAAAGTCATCGCAGACAGCACCTAACTCTGCCTGGGAGAGCTAAGATCAAGGAACGATTTTCCTCGAAACAAGTCTTCTAAAAGTCAGTTTGGATGTAGACCATAAGCAATTGCAATGTGACAATGTCCCGTGCAGAATTAGGATTCCAAATCCCCACCAGATATGCTTTATGTTTTTAGTTTTAAATACTTCCTCTGACTCAGTTGATGGGATGTTAGGCTGACACGAGACAGTGTCAAACTCTATTATAATTTAATAACATTCACTGTTCTAGCTGAACAGAAAACAACCAACCAGGAGAGGACCCCGCCTATTAAAAACTTTCACACTTATCTAAATAGCAAAAAAAAAAAAAAAAAAAAAAATGGGATGCAATATGTGGTGGTTAGCTTTCTATGTTGACTTGGCTAGGTTGGGGTACTTATTTATTTAATCAAGATGCTGCTGGGAAAGTATTTTGTAGACATAATTCCTAGCTACAACAGTTGTCTTTACTTTGAATATCTGGGTAGTGCCTTATCCAATCAGGTGAGTGCCTTAGTAGCAATAATTCAGGTGTGCAGAGAAGAAAGTCTGCCTCAGAATTGCAGCATCAACTCCTGACCAAGATTCCGTGTGACAGCCTGACCTGCAGGTTTCAGAAGTCCCATTCACTCAACCAGTTCCTCAGAATTAATCATATATATTCTCCCCTTCTGTGTGTGTTTGTCTCTGTCTCCCAAGAACCTAACTGATATGGAATAGGATTCCCTCCCTCTTAAAATTACAAAAATAGAGAATCAGTCAGATCTCCCAAGATCTGCCATGGTGGAACTTAGGCAGCTCAACAGAAAAGCAATTCGCTCCCCTTCCTAGTAAAGTGTCTCTTGTGTGAGCCGGGAGGAGAACCAGTCAGCGTCTCCCGTGAGCCTACCGGCACATGGGCTGAGAATCACACATCTCATCCCTCCCACCCCACCCCATTAGCAACTGGGGGCAGAGGTCTGAGCATCTCTTGGGAGGATGACTGTATGCAATATAGCAAATATGGGGAATTTCTTTCTATTTTCTGTTTGAAGGCAAAGGTTGTTTTCACGTTTTGCCTTGTTCTGATTGTTTTGCTCTATTTAATATTCTCTTTTGACTGGTTTTATAATGTTCTATTTTTGGTTTGATTTCACTAAACCTGATTGAATGGACAACTATTGTGAAGATAAGATATTACTATTGTACCTATTACTGTTATCCTGGAAACCTGCTGTGAAGTTCTGTACCAACTCCACTGCATTGTCTCAATTGGCTTTGTTCTGTCTTGTTCTGTTCTATTTTACTACCTTCAAAATAAAATTTAAAAAAATTACAGAAATATCTGTAAATAGTTTAGAACAAAACAGTTAATAAAACTATTCTACATCAGACAAGGTTGTACAAATGGCAGTTGGGCTCCAATAGAGGAATGATTATATTAAATGGGAATATTCTAAGCATACAAATTAAAAGACAAATTAATGGGCTGGGTTAAAAATATTATCCACTGCTGATCTTCATAAACTTATTTCAAATACAACATTATAGGCAGGTTGAAAGGATATAAAAGGTGTGTTATACAGTCAGAAGAGAGTGGTCACTTTGGCAGATGAAGTGGACCAGCTATCATTACATATCCCTTGACACCCAATTGAAAGACAATATGGATAAGGCTCAATAGAAAACATTCTGGGCTGAAATCTAGATCTTCTGACCTCAAAACCTGACTCTCCCCCCGATAAGTTTCAGAAACATTCTACTTAGGACCTTTGTTCCTTCCAGAGTATATATTGTTTCTTAGAGATGGTTGTAAAACTTCAGTAAGATGATGTGCAGTTATAGGCAAAAGAATTTCATAAACCCTAAATCTCTTCACAAATGTGAGGTGTTCCCATGAATATTTGCTGTCTCCCATCCAAGTGTTAACCAGGCCCAAACCTGCTTAGCTTCAGAGAACAGGCGTGTTCAGGGTGGTATGGCCATAGACATTTCCTACCTCATCTGCTATTCTTTGTCATGCTCCTCTGACACAACTGCTCCTTTGAGATTCCTGGAGAGTTTCTGAAAACTCAAGAGGTCAGCTTCCCATTGGCTCAGTTGTGATAATACAATGTTTGACATCATGCACTGCTTATATTACAACACATCGCTAGTCTATGGAGTTAAAATTATTAGAAATGTTTGCTCGTCCTTGGAACACCCACAGACCAAGTTTATAATCCAAGGTTTTATTGGACTGTCTATATTTGCAAAGATTCTATGCAGTGATGCCGTCATCCTCATGCTTTTGCTTTCCATGCTTCAGTTATCCGAGGTCAACCATCATCCAAAAATATCAGTTGGAAAATTCCAACATACAAACAACTCATAGGTTTTACACTCCATTGCATTCTGAATAGCTCGGTAAAATCTGAGCTGTCCCATTGCACCATGCCTGGGACACAAACCCTCCTCTGTCCCGCACACCTGCGGTGTATAAGCCATCTTCCCACGTGTCACTGATTAGCTGTTCCATATCAGGTTGGCTGTGTTGATACCTCAGTGCTTATTCATTTTACTATGGCCCCAAAGCACGAGAGTAGTGACTCTGGCAGTTTGCATATGCCAAAGAGAAGCCATAAGTGAAAAGTAAGTATCTTTGACATAATAAAGAAAGAAAAACCACATACTGAGATGCTGAGATCTACAGTAAGTTGTCATCATAAATATCATACTATGTATAATTTATAACTTAAACTGTCATAGGTCTGTGTGTTTAGGGAAAAGACATGCTATACACAGGGTTCAGGACTACCTGCAGTTTCAGGCATGCACTAGGGGTCTTAGAACTTACATCTCACAGATAAGGGTGATGGTTCTATGCTACGTTACTTGAAGTTGGCCAGTGAATAGCACAGCCACACAAACATAGGTTCTTGTAATCGTAAACTGTGATGTGTCAACTTGATTTGAGGAAGAAGCACCTAGTCAACTTGTAAAGCCCTGGGTGAATTCATGGATGATTGAGATTTAGGCCAAAAATGGAGGATGGAAAACCCACCCCAGATGCAGACGGCACCAAGCAACAAACTGTAGCCTGAACGGAATGAAAAGGGAAAGGAGAAGGAAACCTGTCTGTCATGGTTTATGTCTGTGGCCCCCAGGTCTCATGAGTTTGCATTGTGCATTTGTGATTGGTCCATTGTCTAGAGCTTGGATTGATGGTGTCAGTGCTACACCCACATGGGGTGGAGCCAGGATGTGATGTAATGGCAGGAAGAAGGTGTGTCTTGCTCTTTTGCCGGTTTCTGCCTTGCTGTTTGCAGCCACCATGAACTGCGGCCCAGCCACGCCAGCCTGCCTTGGAGCCAACTGAGTGTGGACTGAAATCTCCAAAAACTGTAAGAAATAAACCTTTCTTTTCCCAACTTTGGCCTTCAGGTATTTTGTCTCAGCCACGAGTAAAAAGTAACTAAAACACTGTCCCTTTTGGTCCAGTCTTCCTCTTTGCTATTGGACATTGGCTTCCAGGTCCAGCAGCCTTCCAACGCTAACTCTGGTTTTTCTAACACAGACTCAAACCAGTGAGTCTGCGTTGAGCTTCCAGGTCTCTTCACTTTTGCTACTGGATCCTTCAGTCCTCCAGATATGCAGATGGACATTTTGGATCCCTCCACCTCTGGCTCCATGGACCACCACTGGGACTCCTCCACTTCTGATCCTGTAAGCCCACCTAACAAGTTCCTTGTGGAGCAGTAAGTATGTTTTATGTCTATTCTGTTCCTTTAGGGAACCCTAACTAGTATGGTTCTCCAGAAACAGACATGGAAATAATTGGGCACAAGATGTTGACTGGGATTCAGCACCTATGGGACAGAGCAGAAAGAGCCAAGACCAGTGGAGAGATCAGACACACACAGTGTACAACCCAAAGGACTCAGCTGTCATGGTCCTGGTTTTAATTCCATCCTTCATCTAGTCATTGATTGTGCACAAGACTGGCCCCTGGTCTTAGTTACTTTTCTCATCGCTGAGACAAAATACCTAATACTTAGAGTTAAAGGAGGAAAGTTTTATTTGGCTCACAGTTTGTGGAGGTTTTAATCCGTAGCTGGATGACTCCAAGGCAGGATGGCATGGCAGAATGGCATCACAGAGTAGTCATAAAAGCAGCAAGCTGCAAGTAGAGAGACAAAACTCTCATTCCCTTGTATCTTATCCATGCTACCCACCCTCAAGGCAGATAACACTCTTACTTTTAATCCTGACTTTGCACCATGAATCAATCCCAGCATCACATCCTTGACTGCAGCATTACACAGCCTAGATCCACTTACCTCCAAAAACCCCACCTATGATTGCATGAGGCTTTGGGGAGACATTTACACACAGGCCATAGCTCCCTCCCAAAGCTGAGCTCAACAAAGGATTTAAATGGGTGATCTGTCATCCATACGCCCTGAGAAGCACATCCTTTTTCCTGGGACACCTATCTGGGCAGCAAATAGCTCCCTTCCATCATCATTCTAAAAATCAATTCCCAACCCCATTCTTCTAGTTCTTTGTATTTTTCTTCTGCTTCCATTGCCTCTGCAGAATTTTATAGTTTGTCTCTTCATGAAGTGTTTATTATAGAAGTTATTTGTTGAGCTCTCTGGAGGGAAAATGCTTTTGAAATTTAACTAATAAGAAAGACAGTAAATAAAATGAGATTCTGGAAAAAATTACGTGTACAAGAGTTGAAACCATGCTCACTGTAACTTGAATTTGATGGCCTAGTGTTCACTGAATGAGCCAATCAAATGAAGATTGGGATCTTCTCACTGGATTAAGAGCCATCAAATCAGCTGCCTGTGCTGTCTTCCTCCTATCTGGATGTGGCAGGATGCCCAGGATATGAAAGTATTTGTGTGTATGCGCATGCATGGGTGTGCTGGGGGCAGTGTTTATTATCGGTACCAAGGACACAAGCCAGCACTGTCTCCTCTCTACTTGGGAAGGGGTGGAGCTAGACTCTAGAATTAGTCAGTAGATGGAACACAGAGCCCATCTGGAGAGGAAGAGCATGAGTATAAACAGTAACATTTGAATTCTGGGTCAGGAAGCAAAAGCTAGAACCATTATGAAGAAAAGCTACTAATTATGGAAGAAGCCATTGGGCAAAGGGTCTCTTCTGTTCAGGTCTCCATTAAAATCAGGTAATGGGTCAAATGCAGAGTGATGGTCTCAGCGCTAAAAAAAAAGAAAAAAGAAAAAAGAAAATGTAAACAACTTTTACAAAAACTAGGAATTCTGATCGTGGCAAAAATTATCAAGGATGTGAGTCATGGTGCCTTTTATATTGCTGTTGAGAATGTAAATTATAAAACAATTTGGGAAACAATTTGGCATTATCTTGCGAAGCTGAACATTTGCCTTTCTTCTGTTTCCACTGTTGCAAGAATATACCCCGGAGAAATTCTTGCACATGTGCCCAGGAAATAACGTTCATAATAACACTGCTAGTAAGAGCAAAATGTGATAAATAAACAACCCACTTGTCTATACTCTAGTGACTAGATACACAGAATGTGGGAAATGTTTTGGCAATAAAGTGAAGTCCTGATACACCCTACTACTTGCAAAGACCTTAAAAACATTATGCTGAATGAAAGAAGACAGTCACAAAAGATTACATTTGATTCCATTTGCTTGAAATATCCAGCATAAATGAATCTATAGAAAACAGTGAGTTAGTGGCTGCCAATGGCTAATGGAATTGGAGAGAAACAGGGAGCAACTGATAATGGGGATACAGGATTTCTTCTTAGGGTAATGCAAATACTCCAAAATCAGCTTTAAAGGGTGATGATTACTCCAGTCTGTCAATACACTAAAAACTATGGAACTATACACTTCAAGTACGAAAAGGCACATTTGTATGGTAAGTGAACTATGTCTCCATAAAACTATTTACAAAGAACAAAACAAACAAGCAAACAAAAATAACTCAACTGCCTAAAAGAAGGAGAATGAATAGATGCACAGGCACACACATGCACATGCACACACACACACACACTCATGCACACACACACTATGTACACTATATATATGCACACTGCAGAATAGTATGCACTAGTAACAAGTGGATGACTGATAGTTTTATTCATCAATATGGAAAAGTGTTAGTAGCATTGATACAACATTGGTTGGTATCATCAAGTGAAAAAAGCAAATATCACAAAATTAAACTACATAGACAATGATAACCTTTTTTTATAAAAATTATATGGTTCAAAAATAAAGTCAGAATAGTCAAAGGTAAGAATAGGTGCTGGGGATAGACCCAGGGCTTCACACATGCTAAGAATGCACTCTAGCACTGAGCTACAAACCCCAGGCAATATATCTGTTGAATAAATATTTATGTAATAAATTAGCAACCATATAGCACACAATAAGAGGATGAATAAATACAGTAGGTAAAATGGTAGCTCTGTGGTGAGGATTAAGGAGAAGAGGATAGAGAAGGTGTAATGATGATAATGTATCATGAATGACAAATTTTGTTTAATCAAACTCTACTCCAGAGCCCTTGAATTACTGTTATAGGTAACAATGGCATTCATATGGGCAAGGAACCATGCTAATCACCATCTATGTAGTATCTTAATTTTGCAGGACTCTTTTGAGATTGGAACCATTGCCACGTCGATTCTAGAAATAAGAGACTGAGGTTGCAAAAAGTCATTTGGGGGGCAGGTGGTGGAGCTTTGGTGTAACTCCATGCCTGGGAAGTCCCAGAATGCTGATGTTTAGTTACCCTGTGCAGCCTGTTCCCTCCAGGCATCCATTTCCTGCAAGACGGTAGCCAAGTATGGGATTTTATCCATCAGGCCGATGAGCAGCATACACTGGGAGAGACCTGGGATGGACAAAGAATACTAAGGAATCTTTCAATAAAGAGCAACAAAAATGGTTACCATCTTGGAAAATGAATATTGGTTAATTCAGGATCCTGATTATCTGCTGGAAAGAAGGAAATCAGGTGTCATGATGACAAAACCTTTGCCTTTGGTGACCACCATGGGCTGCCACTCAAAAGAGTTTCCAGGTGGCCCAGTTCCAGCGCCACAGTCTTGGTATTCACAAGCTGCTTCCTGCCATTAACCTTACCTTATGCTATTGGAACTTGCTTTGTTCTACTCGGGATTTAGTGGAGAATTCAGCAGCAGCTGGTGAGCTCTCTTGTATACTAAAGTTCCCTGTGGGCCTCTCTTATTTTGTTGCCTTTCTTAACTGAGAAGGTACTCAACTGATTTTCAACACTTTTTCACAAGGGACAAGCACATTTGAAAACTTTTTTGGGGCTTCCTTAGCTGTAGTCCAGGGTTCTGTATTACAAACCACTCAGACCAGATTAGAACATCTGTGTGGCAAATGGTGGCGGGAAGGTAAAGTGAAGTGATTAACATGAAGTCATCTTTCCAGGCATTTCCAGTCCACTTCGATGGATCAATTCAGTATTTCCTGCTGTTCTCAAACCACACACCTCATAATCTAATTTGCTTTAGAAAGAGAGCAGAAGGACTTTTGTACAACACTTCAAGACATAGGAATTCATAGACTCCAAGGGCACAGTCTCTAGAATTGTGTCTTTGCTGTGTGCAACAATGGGTGCCCTGAAATCTGTGTGCATTACGGGAGCAGAAGGGTGCTTGGGGACATATAAAGAGTCAAAGACATAGTCCTCAAAGTCCTCAAAGACATAGAAACATCATATTGCAGTCTCAGAGGGAAGAAGCTGACTCATAGTCTACATGACATGTTATCAAGCATATTGACAGTTTCTGACATGAAAACACCCTTACAGGAAAAAGAAAAAATTTAGTCCTTGCACTGGAGGTGTAGCTCAGTGGTAGAATGTGCCCAGCGTGTTCGAGGACCTGGTACTCATCAGGTGATTGATTGCCAGGCACTGGGAAATGGGGGGAATCTAGCTTTTATCCTGGTGAAACTTGTGTTACACCTAATGAAAGGACATAGCACAATGTCATGGCCATGTCCACACCCTCAGACAAACTTGCTCATAGCTGTGCCGTGGCTCACAAAGCAGATACTCTGGTTTTCAGAGTTGAAGAAATGTGCTCATGCTTTCTAAAGGATGCCTTAGTCCCTCTGTAGCTCTGCTAATATTTGATTTTTACTGTTTGTATTTTTAGCATCTGGGTTCCAGAAAATGCAGGTCAGGTGGAGTTTGGTGTAGGTCATCATGGTTTATGAAAATGCTCCATGCAATTAGATGCATGATTAATTGTTAGCATCATGGACACCTCCTATAAGGCTGCAGCAGTGCTAATGGCACTGTTAATTAGGCTGTTTTTATAAGCAGACATGGGCCCTGGACAAAGGCCCCAAGGAGCTCCCCCTGCCTGCCTGGAATCTGGAGGATGTACTGAGTCTGTGGCCTCCGAAGCCCTGTGCTGCCAGCCAAAGCCAGACTGGGGTTGGTGTGGCTGCCATATGCAAAGGCTTTGAAATAAAGAGGATTTGATCTCAGGGAGACAGATGCTGCTTGCCTTGCCTAATTATTCATTTTGGATGAGAACAGAGCATCTTCAGCGTGTGAGAGTTTCCAGCATAAAGGAACTAATCCCCTCTCTGTCCCCAGACACCCACAGGCGCCACCCAGCACCGGCAGCTGCAGCAGCTCCAGCCTCCAGCCAGCGGCTTAATACAAGGATCCTGACATGCTCTTAAGCCAGGAACTGATGTCACTCTTGCAGGTCTCCATGGCAACCCTTCATTCTAAAAGAAGGACATTTGTAAATATGCATTTTGCTTGTCCTCTTCTTTGATTCAAAATATTAGCCTTTGAGAACAACTCACTTTGTCAGCTATGTCCTACAAGAATGAAGACGTAGGACTTCTCACTTGTCCCTTTCTGTTTCCTGGTGCCCCTGCATTTGTTGGTTCACCAGACCCCCCAGCAAATGCACACTGAGCTCCTAGGCAGCCCCAGTACCCCTCTAGGTGCTGCAGGGAACATGGACCAGAGCAAGACCTGGTTGCTGCTCTCACAGAACAGAAAGAAGGTGGAAATCCACCATCCCTGTCAGCAGGAGGGGCTGGTTGGGTGTCAAACAATAGGACAGCATGACTGGGCTTCAGGGACTCTGCAAAGGCAAGGGTACACCTGGCCCTGCTCCCCGGGAGCTCTGCGTTTCCCAGTCATTTGCAGTTTTTTGCAGGGCCTGAGTCCTGGGTGTCTGTCTGGTGGAGCCAACTGAGTCTGCTGGAGTTTCTGTGAGCTTTAAAATACCCCAGTCCCATTTTCCAGAGATATTGACTTGTTATGCATCTGTGAGGTCCTGGGTATTTCTATTTTACAGTTCCTTGGGTGACTATCACATTTGCCCTCCTGAAATAAATTCACTGGTGTCTTTAGGATACAGCCTTCGCTGCTTGCATGAAGACCACTGAAATCACAAAGGTATCAGCAGACGAAACTTCATTTTCCTTTCATTGAACCATTAAAAGTAAGTGGGTAAACTGGGGCAGCCAGGTGACTGTACTCCCCAGAGGGTCCTGGAGTGCAGGCGCCGTCATGTAGAGGGGGCTTGGTGCACAGAACGGAAGTAGATCCCCTATCTGGTGACACCTTTGCAGCCTGTGGAAGAGAGGAGAAGCAAGACCCACAGATGTGCAGCAGCACACTCGTGGAAAGAAGTCACCAGCCACACCTTGCTGCAAGGAGAGAGGGAATCTCTAGTCTAGTCTGGGGGCAGGCCCACCTTGGGGGTTAGAAGGCAGGATCCTGGCCCACGATCTGTGCATTGAGAAGCGGTCTGTGCTTCTCAATACCCAGGCTGTACTCCACATTAGCCAAATCAGGATTGCTAGGGTGGGATTCAGTGTCAGTACTTTGGAATGATATAGTATTTGTAAGCATGTAGGCAAGCGAGAAACTTCTTTCCCAGGAGCATGGAAAGGTATTTATGGAAAGGTGGCACCAATCCCTGGCTTCTGGACATCCAAGCTGCTTTGTGTGGTCTGCAGATACAAAACACAGACTGCCAGAGCTCAGCCATTGAGCCTGTCATCTCCATCTGCGGTCATAGTGAAGCTGTCTGCAGCCCATAACGCTTAACCCCATCCAGGTAAATGGTCTGCTGCAGGTGGCAGGTGACGGGCAAGGCCTATGTGTACACCTATAAAAGGTGACACTTGCCCAGAGGCAACAGAAGGCTTGGGATAAACCTGCCTAGAGGAGCAACAGTGTGATGCTTAAGACAGAGCCCTGAGTTCCCAGCTTAGCTCCTGTCTCGAGGCTCACATCCGGGGGGTCTTATCTTCTTACTATAAGGAGGAAGGTGATAACAGAAGCCTCATTTATATGGTGCTTACTGTATGCCAGTCAGTTTTCTAGGTGATATATATATATATATATATATATATATAGAGAGAGAGAGAGAGAGAGGCCAAATTAGTCTAACACTTTTATAATGTAAACGTAAGTGTTGTTCCTATTTTATGGAAGAATACACACGAGGTTAAGTAAATCACCCAAGGTCACACAGCTAACAAGTCTCCAAGATGATCTGAGTCCTGACCCGGTTTCACCGTCGGAGCAGGTCCACGGCTCTGTGATTGGGAAGCTACTAAAGTGTCTCCAGAGCGACTGCACACAGGAAAGATAAAGAAAGAGCAGAGTCATTCCAACAATCTGTCCCTGCATCCTGCCTTCTTTCTGTCCCCTGGCCCCTCCGTGCCCTTGGTGTCTGCAGCCCAGCATGCTTCCCTTTGTCCTTCTGGGTGGCAGGCTCTGATAAGCTCAGCCTGTGCTCCAGCTGGCCCGCACTTGGAGCAGCTCGTTCGGCTTCCTGTGGAAGATTCCAAGGCAAATCTCTTCTCTGTTTCTGCCAAACTTTTGGGGCTATCTGGATTTTTTTTCCTATTTTTGCCTGAATTTGTCTAAAAATGATTTCCTTAGAGTCATTCAAAATACTATTTCTTGCCCAGAAATAGCATCCTACATTCTTCACCAGACTTTCATTCTTTTTTCTTTTCCTGGGCTGAAAATTCCAAGAGTTGTGGTGCCGGAACATTCCTGGAAGCTACAGAGGATTCCTTTTCCTTTCCAGGAGCCAGAGGCTGAGCATCTTTCCCCAGGGCCACACTGAGGGTGCAGGGGGCCCCTGGGAGCAGGGACTCGGCCACCAGCCTGGCTCTGTACCTCACTATTCACAGCTCTCACTAACCTCACACTTCAGCCGAGCCCAGCCCGCCAGGTCCCTGAATTCACTGCTCTGTGTCCTCCGGGCACATCTCCTCCATCAAGTCCTCTGCAGAATGACTTCCAACTCATAATCCAGCCTGGCTCCTCTAAAAAGGAAAACAGAAACAGAAGGAGCCGAGATGGTTTTCCAAGTCCTGAGCTCCCTTCGCTTCGGGTCCCACCCCTCGCTCTGGGAGGGGGGAGGAGCCTTGGTTTGGATTTGAGGTTTTAGAAGAGTCTCCCCAGGACTGGCATGAAAAGGCGATTGCCCACACTGCAGCAGGAGGAGCGGAAGCTCTCCCCTTCCTACAGCTATTTTTATTGATGAAGCCTTTCTGAGCCCTGACACTGACTCAGGTTTGGTCAGCATGCGGTGGAGGGCGCAGCTGTGGGTCACCACACTGCAGTGCGGGCCCTGCACCTGGCAAAGCCAGGCTGAGTGCCTAGGGCCTGGCTGAGAGCCCACCCAGGGAAGCCCCGCCAGCTGCCTCCCACAGTTTCTCTTGCTAATCTTCACCCACACGGAGTTACTCTCTACAGTGAGACTGGAAGAGTCTAGCTGAGAAAACTGGGTCGCAGGGCTCGTGTCCAAATCTAAAACAAACTGGAGCCTTCCTGCCAATCTCTTGGGGCCTTCCGTGGACCTTCCTGGGAAGGATCTGCTGGAATTGAGCTCAGCTGCCTGCTGGGTGCCCTCCAGCGTGGCTGCACGGGCTGCGCAAGGGCTTTGGGAGAGTTTTGGTGCACCGAGAATCTTGTTGAGATTTACCGAGTTGAACTTTTACCTAGTGTTTTTCCACAATGGACCAGTATCGTATTTCCAGTACTTACATGATGTAAACTCACTTTGTGATGGAAAGAGAGTATACTTAACTGGAGCGGAGGAAACAGTGTTCCATTCGAGGGACAGAGCGGTATGCATGACATGGGCATGTACTCGGGTATCTAGAACTTGAATCTGCTTTGCTCCAAGGCAGGTAAGAAATTAGTTTGCCCCAGAAAGAGCTGGTCCTTTGGAATATATACCTGGAGAAACCTGAGATCGTGCCATCACAGAGACAGTCATACCCTTTCCCTCCTGTTTCCTCCTGTTTTATCTCTGGACCTCACTGTAGAAGATGTAACTATTCAGTTCATCTGTTGTCATGTCAGTTTAGTGAAAGAATAAAAAACCAATGCGGTACAGAATGCCTTCCTACAGCTCCCTTCATGTTACCCCATATTACACCAAGAGTTTCCTTGGCTTTTTCTTTTAATCCATTTATCCAGTTGTGGCTTTGCTGTTCATTAAATTCACCTGAGGAGTTTAACATATTCCCCAGATCCTAGCCATTGGGATTTACACATCAGTGTTCTCTTAAACACACCAGATGGTTCCAATGTGCAACCCAATGGGACCAATGACCTACATTTTGGGGAGTGGTGGGGACTTCTCTCATATTAGGCCTGACTCTGTCACTGAGCTACCTCCCAGCTCCTGAGGACCAGGAATCTAAGCCAGGTCCTTCTAAAACTTAAGCATGTTCATGAGTGGCCTGGGGGCTCCAGAGTCATCATTTCCATCTTCCGAGTAGACAGAAATGGCCAAAGTCTATTCATTGTCCTCTGATGCCAACTGATTTTTAGAGAAGAGAAAAATTTGATGCCTTCATCTTTGGGAAAGCATTGTGCATGGGGAAACAAGAAAGCTGCCTGGATTGTAGAACTTCCTTAAAATGTTAACAAATAGTTTCTAAGCTTCACACATAGACGTGACTGACATCTGTGGTGTGGGGGAGAATCTGGTATTTCTGACTCTAGAATGTTCCAGACCAAAATAACCTGATAAGTGAGTAATGCCAAATCCTGGCTAATGATCAGAATCACCAGGGAAGTTTCCAAAATTTCACTGGGCTCCTCCCCGAATAGTCTCTCATTTGACACACTTAAGATGAGGCCCAAAGGTCATATTTTTGACTAGCTGAGTGAAGTTCAGACAGACCTGGGGAGCCGCTGACCTGACTCACCCCTGCTCCTCATCCGTGCATGTATTGGGGAGAGGACGATTCTGCAGGCCTGGACTGCTCTGCTGTGGCAGTGTCTGTATTTTCTGCTGAGGTCTGAGTGACCCAGAGGAAAGAAACCCAACTGACAGCCGGATCCTGGCTAATAATTTCAGGCTCTGCATCTACCTTTGCTTTCCTGGATGGTCAGGCTAATTTGACGAGACAATAGAGACAGCAGCTGCCTGTGGTGATAGCTCATAAAAGAAGGAGGCTTGGCTCAGCAAGAAGAGAAGATTCATGCAGGAGAAGGAGAGGGTGTTTTAGGGTAGGGTGCCTGTTGCACTCCACTGGCGTAAGTGGGTGGGGCTGCACTCCGTCATGGGCCACCCTCCTGATACAACTACCTGTTACCCTACGGTCTCCTGAAAAACCCAGGGCAAAGATTCCTAAAGCCAAGTGACAAATCATAGTCACAGTGCTAACCTTCGAGTAGAAATACTTCTGCCTGTTCCTATGGACCCCCAAACCTTCAGCCTGGAGTCCCAGCGAGATGCTCCCAGCTGTAAATGTGAACATCTAAGGGGAAAACGAGCTACATCAGGATGTGCAGGGTATCCAATGCCTGCACCCCATGCTTGGTCACCCATACCCCTCAAACCACTGATTGAAATCACTGCCTGAGGATTTGATGTACTTATTCACAGGATTTCTTTAGCCCATACACTAATAACCCTTCCTTGTTTTCAATGTTTCAGTTTTTGTTGTTAAATCAGACATGAATTTTCAATGTTAATCATATTTAATCATTC